ATTATAAATATACCTTGGTTAATATTTTCTGCTTTAAACATGAGCATTAAAATTTGAAATTCTTTGCAGATGTTTGTAGTAGTTCCTTCCGTTTCAGTTAAAAATTTCACACGCTATACCAAGAACAAAGTGTGTTCACTCACAGTAGGAAAGGGAAACACGGTCGGATTGACATGCAATTGTCGCGTGCCCTCACGCTAATTTCAGACACATTCGTTTCGCATACTAATTTAATAAACTTATGCGCCTTACATAAAATATAGTTAATAATAAGTTTTTCAACAACGATCCGATTGTTTTGGATGCTTTTAGCAGTCCATTTTACGCGTTAAAAAGTTTTTTATCTATAGTAATATTATAAAGGTTTTTTATTTAAACGCGCCAATCTCAGGAACTATTAGTTCGAAAAGAAAAAATATTTTTATGTTAGTTGGACTATTTATCGAGGAACGCTTAGGCGATAACACATCAAGCTGCGACCAATAGGAGAAAAGAAACAATGGGAAATGTGGAACAAACAATTTCGTCGCGTTCGATTTTAAGATAAACATCACAAGAGCCGTATTTAAGGTAATCAAATTTGGTCGAAATTATTCTTATGGAGGGCACAGTCCGTTTGCCAGGTCAGCCAGTTTAATATAAGTCCAAAATTACTGATATAGTTTTGAATAGACTTTCCTTTCATTATTTGTAGAGTAAGTTTTGGCGCATTACGTGACCTTTTTAATGTCGTGCTCATACCATAACACACGAAATTCCAGTAAAATTAATTAACAGCCGTAATTTTAAACAACTTGAATATAATTAGATGGTATTAACTTTCACTAGATATTCATTGTATGTTTGCGATGAGTTCGTACGTGTTTTTATTAAGAAATGGCTTCCTTTATCCATTGTTGTGACACCCGTGGAAATGTGGATGAGATCGGAGTTAGGAAATGCTTAATATGGGTGACGAATTGACGATGTGACAAATACTTTTTTGCGCTTTGAATGGTATTATGCGAAGGTAGTTCTTTCACCTTGTATCTTTGAATTGGGGGACTATTTTAATTGCTACAATCATGTTAAACAAAGGCATTTTAGTTTTAATTTTGCATACAAAAATAAAATTCTGACTTGTGTTATCTGTTTTGTTGCACTTTTGTAGTATTCGTGTGAAATTAATTTCCAGTCCTGGAGCATAAGTGAATGACAGACCGGCCATCTTGCTGTTCTTTTATACGGTTTCAATGCTTGCGTAATAAAATATGACGTACAAAAATAGCATACGCAAAGCTAAACATTAACTTAACTCTAATCAGAGTAATCCTTTAATATGTGTTTACGTCTTTATTTGTTAAATTAAATAATGAAATTAACGAAGTTTGTATTTTGGCATGGACTTGAATTGAAAGTTCGTATTTTACTTTATTTATATATTGTTATTAAATTTACAGATGAAATAAAATCACATATACGCACAACACATCCGTATACAGCGATAAATATATATTATTACGATTTGTAAAGCTATTGTAACAGAAACAATGAAGAGTTGACTGCCCTCTCAACTGTATTTTTTTTATTGTCCATTTATGTTAGAGAAAATGCATGAAAAACTTGACAAATACTAACAAATAGATAACTCATTAAATTTCGTTCAATTGTATTCATTTTGAAATTCCATTTACTTCCGTTTAAATTCACAACATGTAAATTCCGTAAAAGTAAATAATATATTGTAAATGATAACTTGACTTTATTTTCTTATGGTGCAAATTAATCTATTTTCTATATATATACCTGAAGAAAATCAGTCTTTTCCGTTAAATTCTCGAACCTTGCAAGTATTTCCTTCACGGACACTTTGGGTTCGGTCGTCTCCTCGTGAATCGTTTCCATATGACCACTAGAGGATGATGAGTAACTTTGGGGGCACTTTTTCCTCCTGGGTTCCGGGTCTCGGGTGTCAGCCCCCGAGTCAGAATCATCAGCTGATGCATCAATGCTTGAAGCTTCCGAGGAATTTATGAGGGAGTCCAAACTTGGGGCTCGTCGAATGACATCGTCATCGAATGCGCGCTGTAAATTGCGCCAATTGTCGCGCATCGCGTTATCAAGGCGAGGCCGTTGCATGGTGCGCGCGCATGCGCGGTCGCCGGGTGACTGCGCGTGCGACCGTTTTATGGTGTTGATGTTTTTTAGCGCTTAGGATTTTTTATTAGTGATTATGCTGTTTGTATTTAGATGCAGCCAACAGGCAATGTCTTAGTAGTTTATAATCATTATTATCGATAATTTTACTGTACCAGAACTACGACAGACTAAGCTAACATCAGTCAAATAAAAAAAGAATAAAAAAAAAATATAGAATGAGAGGTAATTAGTAAAGCTCTATTAAAATGTGTGATTTAACATTTGTAGCCACATTAACGTGTTAAAAGTTAATATTATAACAATAATTAAATTATCGCAAAGTAAATCTATTTAAGTAATGTAATATTATAAATTACAACATAAAACAAAGGCAAAGGCTTCCGTGGGAAAATAAGCTCGATGACCTTAGATGAGTAAAAAATGTGATCTGGTGATGTTACATGCCTTAGTTACGATTCATTTTCCATTTGTAATACATATACAATAAATTTATTTAAACTGTTTTCGACTGCCTTGGCCCTTGTTGGTCTAGTTACTACGCTCGACTCCCGGCTTGGCTTCGGGTGAAATGTTAGTTCCTGTTAGGAATTTCTAAGAAAATATCTAGGAGCCTGGAGTTTGAAAGATTTAGTGGTGGTAGTTGTTATAGCCCACTAACCAGCACAGGAGAAGCATGGTGGGTAAACGAGGAGACTTACACCGTGTAGTGGTTTAATTAGCTATACGCGTAGATATATCAAAAAGATCCAATTCTCGGGGAAAGTCATGATCAAATCCGGTTTCAGTTACATTTTGTAATAAACTTTGTTTAATACTCGACTGTACGAAAGAGGCATGTTGCGATTTTAATCTAGAAACATAGCGATTAAATTATGTAGCGGTTTAATATAATTAACTATTTTACATTTGAATTGATATTTGTGGAAAGTAGGTTTATAAGAATAAAGCTAAATACTGTCTGTAGTTTACGCGAGTACTACACATTTACAGTACAAGTATAAAACTCTTTACCGGTTTAAAACGCGATATATATTAGTTAAACTTGGTTGAAAGTTATTTCATTTAAAAAAAAGTTAATAAGTAGGTATAAACTGTGAGTCGGACATGTGAGTGCATTGCTTTTAACAGTTACTAACGGACTGTAACGGGAACGATATCGATCTTCTATTTTACTTCATACACTCAACATAATTATATATATTAGAAACAAATCTTTGAGGAGGACAGAGAAGCGACCTCAGCCATATAGCATATGTACAAGATTCGCCGTCGACCAATTTTGGCTTTGTTGTTTGGTTTTCCCGGAGTCAAACTTAAAATCTATCGTGTTTCCACGAAGGCAACCATATACATATAAGACTGAAACCAATTTAAGACAAGCTTTCTTAAGCAGCTGACCATGACGGTTTGCTACTAGTATAACTGTGTCGATTAAGAGGTAATTGCAAAGGTCATTGAACTATTCAATGTGTATTTCATATTATAATTGTTATAGACCGGGTAAGAAAGAATTACATATGTACTATATACGTCTGTATTCAGGAAAGTATTATTGAAACACTTTAACGGTTTAAAACGCAATATGTATTAGTTAAACTTATTTGAAAATTATTTTATCTATGGTTCGACGTTTCGGATGCTTCACGGCAGACGTGTCACGGGGAGAATGTGCTGTTAAAATTTGTAAATCGAAGGTTTTAAACCATTGAAGTATTTTATTTAAATATTTTGAAAACTTTAATTTTTTACATGTACATAAAAATTTTTTCAGCAACAGCACGGAACGCTGACGATGCCGGCTCATGAGGACAAAATTTACTGGGGGGGGGGGGGGGGGAAAAAAAATTTTAAAAAAAATTTTATTATTAAAAAATGTTTTTTTTAATTTAAAAAGTTAGAGCAATACTTAAGGTACTCATGAGTTATTTAGAAAAATATTGTGTATCTCATGAAAAAAAAATACTATCGAAACAAAGTCTCATTAATTATTAATTAGATAATATATAGACATATTCGGCTATTAGATAATAATCGATTAGAATTCTATATCATCTTCGGTTCTAACATTGGGGTCAAACTGAATGATTACCACTTGTCTTATTACATAACGCAAGCGCACAATCCGCGAATGTCTTAGGAAGTAGGAAGTTTTACTTCTACAAATGTTAATGTTGAATAATATATTGTGTAAACAGACATATTTTGTTAAACTGAACTTTGTTAAATTACATAATAATGAATTAAGTCTAATTCCTTTCACGGCGATCTAATGCTTATAAGTCGTATTAATCCAATAGAATATTCAAACGAAAATAGGCCGACAGCGCATCTTGTTGACATGTTATATGGCTAGGGAATTTCACCTTCAAGTGAAGGCCGTGCTTGTCTATCGTTAAAAATAAAATCTTAATCATTAAAAAAGCCAAATTAATTTTAGTAAAATTTAATAAACATAATTCTAAAAAAAAACACGTTAATTTGGTTAAATTTTGCGCTGTACCGGACCTTAACACCGCTCCTACAAAAGTCACTGTTACTATTCAAATATGTAAGTATTTGAAAAAATAAGTTTAATAATGTCGTAAATATTGAGTTTATTTTGTTTTAAGTATTTTTTGTTGTCGGGAATGAAAATTTCAACTGTCCAAGAACAGCGGTTCCTGAGATACACAGATGAGACAAACAGACATATTGCTTAGCTTAGCATATTAATAATACATAATATAAAACCTCATCTTATTCTTCCAAAAGTAGCACAAAAAAAGTGTAGTACTTACTGTACTAACAATTTAATTCTTTTTCTTAACATATTCAGACCGATTTTTACAATTTATGACAATAAAAAAATTCAAAAAACTTACCTGTGAATACTGTAGCACAAACTCTGCTATCAGCGATTGCGCATTTTGTGCGAGAGGTACATGCAAGGTGATGGGGGCGTCCCGCGATGGTGACAGCTGCAAAGTACCAGGCGCTGGTGATGACGCGCGGAGACCAGATAACGAGAGCGAGCGACGGGTTACAAGACCACTGGGACCTGTTGATGAGACATTTACTTATTGCATTACAAACGCAGAGTCCATTTCTATAACTTGAACAGAGGCTATATTTAATTTATATTTCTTATACTATTGTAGCCAAAAATGGGTTTTTATTCAAAGGTTCAAAATTTAACACACTTTCTGCAAATATATTACTCTTAATATTTTTCATAATTTTTATTCTTTTTTCATGATAGAGGACAAGAGACAAGCATGGGGTTCACTTGAAGGTAGGTGAAATACCCCAGCGCTGTCGACCCTTTTTGACTTTGGATATTAATAAAACCACAGACTGAAACCGAAACGTGATTAAATTTCACGGTTTTTATATCTGTGACGGAAATTCGATATTCCCACCACCCATTTAATATCCAGAATTCCAGACGGTCCAGCATGGTGGGGATCGAAGTTCGAACCCACGACCCGTTGATTATTGGCCGTACACTGCTACCATTACTCCAAGGAGCCCGTCAAATTATGTTAAATCCTATAGCTCATATATATATATATATATATATATATATATATATATATTTATTATACTATTGATGAACCTTTGGCATTGGCGAAAGATCGAAGTAGGTATTTTAATTGTTTAAAGAACTTATTCTTTGAACATTTATTTCATCATCTCTTATATTGTAAAACTTATCTAAATATTGCTCCTAGTTACAAATTTGTATTAGATAGGCGTAACAAATAGAAATGTCTTGATTATTTACCCTTGACGCCAATTGTAACTCCGTTATGTGACACAGCAAGGACAGCGTTCTCTCCTGGCTGAATTCTAGCAGAATATAATCTTGCAAAATAAAACGGCCACTCTCGGGCCATGTCAACTGCTTGCCTCTTTGTGGCCGCTCGTACAGGCCCGTTTTGTGATCGCAGCCAAGTGTTACCAGCTCGTCGTTCAGCAATACTGATTCGCAGCGACGGAAGATTCGATGTTATGTCGCTGACAATCTAAACGTATAAGAAATATTACAAAATGTGTTTGTATTATACTAGCGGCCCTGTCCCGGCTACGCACAGGTAGACATAAATATGTACAGATATTTGAAATATAAGCCCCCCGTTTATTAAATATTAAGCGTGGGTCTTGGCTTTTGAAGCCATCTGGTGAGATATTCATAGGTTAAATCAAAAACTAACGTATGCCGTTCTGTTTTTAACAATATGTTTGAAACTATACCGTTTTATACCTGTGCATATAATAAGTCTAATATGGCAGGTTCACTGTATGTCTCCAACGGTGAAAACACTTCCTTGCGGACGCGTAGCTTCCACGGCACGCGATGATATGTAAGGAAATTGCGATCCGATGCAGGCAGAAATGCGGCTGGAGCCGGTACGTCTATATTAAAAAAAAGAAATTAGCACACTACTTTATCATCTGGGTATAGATAATACAAAAATTACTCACGTTCTAGGTGTTCAGTCTTATCTGTCACGTGTGTTGACACAGACTGTCTTCTTTCTGCCTCTAACTTTCTATCCCTCTCTTTTTGTGCCATATGTGTCTTAAATGTCGGTCGATCATTTCTTTTTAAGCTATCTCCATTGTCCGGTGGAAAGACCACATCTGAACGGGGACTATCTCTCGTTCTTCCCATGAGCATTTCGCGAGAGTTCTTCCTACCATCATAACGTTCGAAATCGTCATACATACCACGATCAAAGGTATCATCTTTTCTTTCTGCTCGCATCGGTGACATTTCGTAAATCTCAGAAGCGTCCCTCCCGGAAAAGTTATCATGATTTCGTCTGTCACCCATTTCAGAATCCCATTCATCCCTTCCCTTGTCATCGTAGCTTCTAGTTTCAGATTCATCTCCCCAATCATCGCGTCGTTTCTCTCGACGGTCTGATGTAAGGAACCTTGAGGCTAGGTCTTCGACTTGTGATTCGTTTTCATCTTTTCTCCGTGAGCTCCAATTTGCTAAGAAGTTGTGACGATCATCTGCATCTCGATTTTGGTGAACGCCGAAAGTGTCTCTGTCGCGTCTAAGCTGCGCAAATGTCGATGATGATTCTGTGGAAGGAGGAGGCGGTGCTGGGTTATCTGGAGGTGATGGCGGTGATTTAGGTGGTGGAGGCGCGGGTCCTGGTGGCGCAGGAGGAAGCGGTGGCGGTGGAGCATCCCAACGTCCAGCACCGCCTAATTGTCTTTCGAGCATTAATTTTCTAGTATCTTCCAGTTTATTTACAGTTCGGGGCGTTTCTGCTGCAGAAGACGAACTACGTACCGAATGATTGGCGGTAACGCGTTCCAAACGCTGTCTCATTTCTGAACTTAGTTTTAATTTTCCAACGCTTCCTGGAGACGGCCTTTGAGCACCTATTTCGAAACTGCGTCGCGCAGTTCTCTGTGAAGGAGGTTCCCGTGCTGTTGGAATTTGTCCATCTACTTCGAATTCCTCCCATTCAATATTAGGCGAGGCTTCTGATCTTGATCTTCCTCTCGGAGGTTCTACGTGGTGTTCGCCATTCGTCTGTGCTTGTGGGGTGTGTTTCCTTTGAATTTGTCGCATTTTAAACTTTGTAAAGTCTTGAGATGTATCCTGTGGTACAGCATCTTTTGGCGGGGGCCACCTCCATTTTCCGATTCGAACTGTTTTCGCCCGACCGTAGGGATCTAGAAAAGGTCGCGCTTCAGATGGATCCATTTCGTGTAATGGGGGAGGCATTGGTGGCGGTGGTGGTGGAGGTGCTCCACCGGAGACACTCTCGTTAGATACTCTTCTAGTTTTTACAGAATTTCTTGGTGGTGAATGAACTTGAGCATGCACAACTGTAGAAGATCGAATAGGAGATGTTGGCGCAGATTCAGTTTCTACTACCTGCCCTGCCAGTAAAGTTTGTAATGCTTGGTTTTGTGCAAGTAATTGCTGTTGTATTTGCAAGTTTTGTGCCATTGCATTTTGTAAAAATGCTCTCTGAAGGTTTTGGTGATAAGCATTAATATCTACAGTGCCAGGTGGTGGCAAATGAAGCCCCAAAGCCGCGGCTAATGCTTCCGGTGTGGCTGGCATAGCCGGCATCGATGGAGGCATAGAAATAGCTCCATAGCTCAGTGCTGATGTATTGGCTGCAGCAGATCTAGGAGTAGCCCCTCCACCCTTGATTGCACCTGATAAACTTTCTCCATCATTCAGCCTCTTCAAACTGTCGTTCAAGAATATTGGATCAAAAAGGTTAGTGATATAATCATCAACAGAGTCCACGTTAGATTCTTTTCGGCTCGGTTGCTTTTCCTCCTTTCCACCGCCTTTAATAGCACGTTCCAATTTGTCTTCCGAATTAAGGATATCTAACTGCTCATTGTAGGAGCAAGTGAGAATGTTATCTATAAATTTGTCATAATCTTTGCCACCTTTGATACTGGCAGCCAGAGACCTAAAATTTAAAAAATATTTTTTCAATTTAACTACTATAATTTATTTAAATATCTTTGATATTGTATTAAGGAATACTTGCCTCGCATCTGACAATTCATCGATGTTAGGGTCAAGAACAGGTGAAAATAAATCATCAAGAAACTGGTCAACATCGGACGCTTGACTTGGCACGCGGACTCGACGTACGTGGGAGGCTAAGCTCGGGGCTTCTGAGGTGTCTGACATTGCCGAAGACCTGTTTAATTATAAACAATAGTTACGGCTTATATATAAGATCTTTATAATATATGTAAATTTATTGTACATTTTTTGGTGTTAAGGAATTAAATAAGTTTATTTAGTATATTTACCTGACACCACCAAACTCCGAGCTCTTCTCAATGTACGCACGGCTAGACTGCGAACCAGCCGGTGCTCGTTTTCCAGCATACTGGGATTTTATGTACCGAGATGGCAACACCCGCGAATTAGTCCCATAGTCATCTCCTCCTTTACTGCTGGTAACACTCGGTGCTCCCAATCTCTCAACCGAGTGATATCTGTCATTTAAGCGGGATTGAGACAATCCTAAGTCCGTCAATTTTGATGGTTGTGGTACAGGATTATCTCCTAGGAGATTGTCAAGTGATCGACTCCTGACTTTCTCGGACTGTTGCTCAAAGTAACGTTCGTTTAGCGCAGATTCTCTGGATAAGATGTCATGGGATACTTTCCTTGAATATTCGTTGTGTTTACGCGGTTCCTCCATTTTCCAGTTGTATTCAGATATGTTCTCGTCTATAGATTCTTGGAGAATTCTTTGGATACTGGGCGAACGAGATTTTGGTGGTTCTGGAGGCGGCACCTATTAAGAGCAATGAATAATTTAATAATACTTTTTTTTCTATTAAAACAAAAACATTAAAACAAGTCAAAAACAGACAATATTTAAATTAAATTTGTTTTAACATGATACATGAAACACGTGAATATTTTTCAATTCAAAATAAAATAAAATGGTAACTTTGTTTTATATCTCAATATTTAATATCATACTTGTGGTCGGTGTTGCCTCTCGGTATCAATAGACGAGGCTCTAGGTGGTGGTGCAGGAGGAGTTTGCCGTGGAGTGGAGTGAGTACGTTCGCGCGGCAGCTCAACCTGCGCATGAGAGTGGGGTGGAGGAGTACGCGGTGTAGACGCCCTCAAAGGTGAAGATCGTCCCGCACATACTGACGAGAATGTCTCCATTTCACCCACAGCATCCAGTATGTATTCACATCCAGCCCATTCTAAAATAAATATTATTTTACTCATGCTTTTGTCATCTCTCGATATTATTGTTTTATTTCAAAAATTTCTAAAATCTTTTGAGAATTCGCTGTCTATTTATTATTCGTCGAAGTTGGTATTTGACGGAATATATGCCGCTGGCGTAGTACTTTGATGTCAAAGACACCTACCATATTTAGTCTCCCCGTGCCCACGGCAACTGCAAAGCATCCGAAACATTGCGCCGTAGTTAAAATAATGTATTCAAAGAAGTTTTACTGATATATATCTCATTTTAAACCGTTAAAGTGTTTATTTAAATGTATAGGTTGGTACTACTCGCGTAAACTACGGACAGTATTTATTGTAATGATGTTTTTGTTGATCCTTCCTTCATTCGGATTTTCGTATTCATATTAAAAATGACTATGTAGAACTTGATTGTTATAAAACCTTAATAGTGAATAGTTAATACCTGTGAGTTGTCCATTATGTTCCATAGTAAGAGACCAACCAGTGGCGTCGTGGGCAACGCCTGCTGCTGCTAGCGCTGCAGCCGCAGCCCGCTCGCACGTAGTCCAAGCTTCTACACACACTTTTTCCACACGATCTAAAACATAAAAATATTCTTTTAAAATATTGAATGGTTAAACTACTATTAGCATTTCGCCAAACGGAAGTTAAAAAAAAAAAAATATTATTAAGGGGGGAAAAAAAATTTAAAAAAAAACCTTTAACGGTTTAAAAGGGGAAAAATTAATTAAATTTTTTTTGAAATTTTTTTTAACTTCGGCCCCGTGTTTTGGGTGCTTTTCAGCAGCCGTTGTCACGGGGAGTTGTGAAACAGTTGATGGTTAAAAAACATTGAAATAGTTTTATTCATAGTGTACCGCTCGTATAAATTATAGGCATAGACGGGCTCTTTGGTCTAAACGTAACAATGTAAGGCTAATAATCAACGGGTCGATCGCCACTGGGTCCAACATTTAATACTGGGTCTAATTTATAAATTTATAATTTCTCTGAAACATTCAGACTTCCAGACTTAATCTGGAAATAGAAAAATTAAATGGGTGGTAGGATCGTGAAATTCGTCCAGGTCCACGAACAACCGTCCACAGATGAAAAAGCTGTGAAGTTTAATCGTGTTTCGGTTTTAGTCTGTGGATTTTCGAATATACAAAGGCAACATAAGTCGACCGCGCATCTTGCTTAGATGTTATATGGCTCCTATATAGTGAACGCCATGCTTCTATTTTCCCCTATATTAAAAAAAAAAATCTAACTTATTATTGTTGGTATATATTTTCTATAACTTATACTAACCAGTTGGTAAATGAAGAGCTAATGCTGGTCGAGCGTGCTCGGCGGCTGCTTTCCACTCGAGTAGCGTGGGCGGTGCTCGGCGTGCCAAGCCACTTGCCCGTGCTGAATTAGCTTCACTTCCACAAGCTAGACGAAGCACTCGCGCTTTTTCAGCGCCCTCCCAGTGTTCAGATATGAATCGAACCAAGTATCTGCCGGACGAAGTTAGCATTAACTAAGCAATCGTTTATTTAGGCATTAGATATCTCAAATAGTAGAGCGAAACGTAAAATATTCTATATTATAATAAAGCTACAGAATTAATTTAAAAATCGAAAATAAATTGAAAAAAACTTTGGACTCGGGCAGGACTTGAACCGGCATCGTCAGCAATCCGTGCTGTTACTCTACCAATTGAGCTACCGAGTCCTACACCTCATCGAATTTTTTCAACTTATTTTAATTAAAATTTTCATATATTTGCGCCTTTTTTATTCCCTAAAATAAAGTGTTTACTTGTACATAGTATACAGTTCTAGAGTAATTTATAGCATACGTAATCATAAATAAACGTAGTGCATCATATAACATACTTGTGTAGAGCCGCCCCTGGCTGGAAAGTGGCTAGGCAATGCCCTATTAGTGGCAACACCCGGGAGACGCCGTTGCGGTCGCTGGCTTGGTTACATAATTGTACCAAGAGCTCATCGCGGAGACCCCGAGAATTTATCCCGCGAGACGCTATGTAATCTGCTATCATCTGAAATACGAATCACACGTGAACACTTTTGCGAAGTCAAGTTGTATTTGATTAAATTAAAAATAAGTGTATTACAAAACTTATAAAAATTAATATGAATACATATATTAAATTAAAGATTTCGCGTTAACATCCATGTTAAAGCGTATTTGTTAATTCTAACGTTTTAAACACAACCTTTTTCATCTAACGTCCTACCTACATACGCCGTGTGTTGTTTTACAGTTGCGTATAATAATTACCTAAGAAATCATAATTACAAGTGCATCCATAACAACATAAAGGTCCTTCACATATTGGGCTTTATTCAGGCCTGATTTTATTAAGATATTTGAGAAATTCATGAGGCTTCAAGAATAAGTCGATCATCGAAATAATATAATAAATAGAATACCCTCATATTAGTATTGTTGATGTTTGACATTTGACATAGAACTATTTTCTGTGTTACCCTTTGTCGCAAATCTGTAGACTAGATATATGATTAAAGGTAAACATGGACTGCGGAAAATGTACAGAGAATGTATTAGAGGTCGAGGGTATCAAATGTACTTCCTGCCAGTCCTGGCTTGACTTTTATTGAGCAGATTTGACCGAAACAGACAGGAAAATCTCACCCACGACAAGAATAAAGTGGAAATGTTCAGCATGCAAGTCAAAAAGGAAAGGCATCGCCCCAACAGCAGTCTTCCCTACTACTAGCTTGGCATCGTCATTAAATATCGCCACAGAGTCTTTAACTAAATATATGGACTCTAAGCTTACGGATTTAAGGCAGCAGTGGTGGGATGATCTTAATTCTACGATAGCGAACCCTCAGGACTGTTAAGTATGCTGGAAAACCGCATGGACGCATGGGGAGACCGGATAGCGCAGATGGAATCTGGGAGTGCTATAAACTCTTCCACTAGCATCCAGGAAGAAAACGCTGCGCTGCGTAAAGAGGAAGATGCACTCCGCTCCAAATTTGATGATCTTGACCAGACCTCCAGAAGTTGCATCTTCGAGATACAGAATGTCCCCGACAAAAAAGGGGACAATCTTATGCAGGAAAAGAGCGTGTATGTCGATCCTTAACAATCGGTCAGCTGTTAGGGGAGCCTACGTCTGCCTCGAGCGCGAGTTATCACTCGTCAAGTCAACTATTTTATTCAATGAATATCTGACATTAAAAATAAAATCTTGTTCAGTAAAACCCGCCAGCTAGCTAAGTAGTGAAAGGTTGGGTATTTTTTTTGTATTTTCGTGAGAAAGTCTAATGAACCCTAAGTCCTTCAAGTTTAAGCATATATTTATAAACACGACGGAGACGCAAATTGATTAGTGCCCTAGTGTGGTGCCCATGGTGTTCTAACATATTGTCAGCACCCGGCGTAGGCGAAGTTTGGTTGCAATATGAGTTAAGCTAGAGAGTTAAGTGCAATAATGGAAACAGTCGCGCAACTGTCCCTTTGACCGTTCAATGACCAGACTTGACAGATTATCAACATTCATAGATGACCATGAGAAACCACAGAAACCTTACTTCTTAGTGGCGGGAAATAACGCATCTCTATCCTAACAATTATCCGACATACACGTTTTCTTTAAAATGTAATTTAAATACTGTTTCAATTTACCTTTTGCCTGGTCTCGTTACCGGAAGACGTTTCATCGCACCATCTTAATATCAACTTGAAAACAGCTACAGCATCGTTGAAGTCTTGATCTCTGTTAAATATAAGATTGGGGTATATAGCATTTTGTTTAAAACTGTGATTTCTACATTTTGACGTTATTTATTATAATTAAGTACTGGCTACGATTAGGCTGTCCAGTTTTAAAAGATTATACTACTTATTTACACTTACCTAACTGCAGCTTTAGACAAAAATGGTTTAGTTATTGGATGCTTCCTCGGGCTGAGTTGTCCTCCATCCGCGAAATACACTGAACTGAACTTATTAAATGCGAACTGCTGCAAGTCTTTCGGCAACTGTATTCGTTCTTCCTCGCAATATACATCAGATATCTAGAGAATATGTGTTTAGTTTAGTAGTAGGGTTATTAAATTAATGATGAAGAGATTAAATTATAATAACTTTTATTAATATATTTGGATTTGTTGTATTAATTTACATTATTAAATTACTGGGAGCTATGAATGATTCTACTAAGTTAGTAGAAAAAAAATAATTTAAAAATCGAAAATAAATTGAAAAAATTTTCGACTCGGGCAGGATTTGAACCGGCATCGTCAGCTTTCCGTGCTGTTGCTCTACCAATTGAGCTACCGAGTCCTACACCTCATCGTCGAATTTTTTCAACTTATTGATCAAACCCCCCAAAAAAAAACCCCCCCCCAAATTAATTTTCTACCTTAACTCTTGCGTATTAAGGCTCCGTGTGCTTATGGCTTTTCATAAAATCATCATTGAAGATGAAATTACAAAGTTATAACGTTTGAAAACATTAATATTTTTCACATGTTATTGCACATGAAGGCACTATATAATTTAAAAATCGAAAATAAATTGAAAAAATTGGGTTTTCGACTCGGGGGGCAGGACTTGAACCGGCATCGTCAGCTTCTCCGTGCTGTTGGCTTTAAAAATTGAGCTACCGAGTCCTACACCTCATCGTCGAATTTTTTCAACTTATTGATACATGCACCTCTCGCGCAATGTAATTTCTACCTTAACACTTGCGTATTAAGGCTCAATTCTTATGCTTTGCAGCTTAAGAAAATTAAATAGGAAAAGAGAAGGAGGGGAGGGAGAAGGGGGGGGGGGGGGAGGGAGCTTTTTGCGAGAACTGTTCGCGAGATGTTGTGCATTTATCAATAAGTTGAAAAAATTCGACGATGACGGGGGGGGTGGGCTCGGTTGCTCAATTGGTTGAGCAACAGCACGGAAAGTCTCGGGCGGTGCCGGTCCGAGCCCTCCCCGAGTCGAAAATTTTTTCAATTTATTTTCGGATTTTTAAATTATATAGTGCCTTCATGTGCAATAACATGTGGGAAAAATATTAATGTTTTCAAACGTTATAACTTTGTAATTTCATCTTCAATGATTTCTTAAGCTGCAAAGCATAAGACATTGAGCCTTAATACGCAAGTGTTAAGGTAGAAATTACATTGCGCGAGAGGTGCATGTATCAATAAGTTGAAAAAAAAAAAAGGAGGAAGAGGCGCATTCACCCCCCGACGATGAGGTGTAGGACTCGGTAGCTCAATTGGTAGAGCAACAGCACGGGGAGAGCTGGCGGTGCCGGTTCAAGTCCTGCCCGAGTCGAAAATTTTTTCAATTTATTTTCGATTTTTAAATTATATAGTGCCTTCATGTGCAATAACATGTGAAAAATATTAATTTTTCAAAAGAAAAAAATAGTAAATTTTATTTTGTATAGAAAAATATATATGTTAGAGAAGACTATTCTGCTTTATGTGCATTTATTTTAACGAACGTATGTGATATTCTTAAATTTTTGACAATTGACCCCTTAAGGTGTCTCAGCAAACTCTCTCATGCGTATGGTACTAAAAAAGGATCGACTAAGTTCTTAAATTATTTAAGTTATATACCTTAGTAATATTTCTGTCAGTATGTGGCGGCTGCCATTCGTCGATTTTAGACAAGATAAATGCAAGTTCTGCTGGCACTTCAAGTACTTGAAGACTCTCTGCTTTAGCCTTCTGCTCGGCAGCACGACGTCTATAAATGTCACAAATAAGGATTTCTAAATAAACTTCTTAATTAATAATATTATAAAAGAACACAATTCAGAACATACTTGGCGGCTGCCTGTTGTGCTTCCAAGCGTCTTCTCATTTGCTCTTTCATGGCAGAGACTCGTTTTCTTGCCTGACGACCTCTGACTAAAGCCTGTGCCTTCACCATACCCCGACGTGCTGTGAGGTAGGTTCTTCGATCCCGTGAGCCTTTCCACCAAGCTTGGATGCGAACAGCTGAGTGGCGCTTTTGGTGGTATCGTTTTCTGTACATACATTTAAATGAATACGCGGTATTTTATGAATATTCGCATAAAAAATCTTTAGATCGTTATACTGAGAAGATACTATGAGGGTATCACAAGTATATACCTAGCTAAGAATCCTCTTATATGCGATTGCAGCTTGGTTGCAGCAGCTCGTAGTTTGTCTGCTCTCGCTCGTTCTAACGCTCGATGTAGTGCTTCGCGTATGAAAACACGTGCCGCGCCTAGCTGGAAGTCTGCACCCACTGTTAATGGAATAATATTATAAGAAGGGATAACTAAATATTGTCTCTAGTTATCACGAGTAGTACAAACTTAAATAAAACACTTTTAACGGTTTGAAACTAGAAATATTTTAGTTCATCCCCACATGACTACGGCTAATCCAAAGCATGAAAAACGTCGGGCCATAGTTTAAAATAGATGAAAACTAGTCAACTACATACTATATTTCGTGTTGTCAACCGATAAGGGTGTTTTATTAACGCATATATACGCTATAAAATAACCTACATTTACTTAAACAACTATTTATATGTAACACACCGGAACATACTTAACAACATAGCTTTATAATTGTAAGTTCTTTTTTTAATATTCTTCCAGTTGATTATCCTTTTTGAATTATGATCATTTGCATCAAGCTCTTCTTTCTCTTCAACTTCAACACTTTTTGATTCTAGTGATACCACCTCATTGGTTTGTTTGCAAGCGACATTTATTTGCTTTTTACGTTCACCGATTGTCAAAACATCTAGTTTGTTTTCTTTGGGTTCATCATTTTCTTTTTCGAGTTCACTGTCTTTTCTTTTAGCCCTTCGTCTTAAAATTTTCTTCCATTTAAAACCAATATCTTTATCAACTTGTATTGACTTATTTTTTTCTTTAACACGGCCTCTTTTCAATTTCCACTTATTCTTTATCAGGTTTTTAGCTTGTGGCAATTTATTAATTTCATTTTTTAAGTTTTCCTCTTCTTTTAGGGACCTATCAAATTCACTATTACTTTCCCACGGTACAAAGATGTCACGGTTTAATTCAAGTAAATCTTCATCTTTTCCATCGTGTTCTTGTAAAGATTCAGTTTCTTTTTGATCGTCTAGTTTCTCATATATCGAATCTTCTGAATCGTCCATTCTGTACGAAGTCTATAAAATACTACCAGAATCCGTTCGCTATTCAAGTGATTCAAACGTTATCATGTTTTAAAGAAAGTTGATATCAGGTAATTGAGAAGGCAATTAAAATACTATTACAGAAATAACAGTGAAAATTTGGTTAGATATGATAACAAATCTAGTTCTTCTTTTAGGAATTACCAGTGTTGTCTAATAGTAAAAGTAAATCTCAAAGTAGTTGCGACTTTGAGTTACGATACGTATTAAAGAATTGCCAGTAATAAAAATCATATTATTTCATAGACAGTGGTAATAGCAAACTTTTGATACGTTGTTTTTTTCTAATTAAATACCAGTAGATATCATAAATAGATGTGATATATTTACCAGCGCCCGTAGGAGGCATTTCAGCTAATATAGAGTTGCAGATTTCTCGATACGGAGTTGAACGTGTAGGCATAGACTTCAGCAAGTATCTGTAATATATTTTCTTTTTAGAGCATCTTTTCAGTACAAGCAAGTGGAAAGATGGTCCCACGGTTAAACGTGTTTCCTACTGTGGCGTTAAGCGCAGAGAAGTTCTGGGCTCAGGCAGGGCACAAAAGTGTCACCAACTACTTGCTTGTAAAAGGGCCAATCAGTGAAACGGACACAGAATTGTGTTTGACCCATGTCTCATGGGAGGAAACGGGCTGTCATTGCATTGCTTTCACTAACAAATTTAACATACAACAGCAACACAAGAGATGTTAAAAAATCAATGAAAATACTTTTTTATATTATTTTCTATGAATCTACCTGTATCTCTCCACAAACAGCTGGAAGGGTATACGTATAGGGTAACCCATTTGACGAATCTTGATTGTGTCCAACATTCCGGTATAACGCAGTTGAGCAAGTACACAAGGCATGTCGAATTTCATCGGTGACTTCTCAGAATTTGGCTTGATGCAGCGCACAAACCACGGATTGCAGCGAGACATCGATTCAAGTAATTGTTGGAGACTGTCTGAAAACCTGTACAATAGATAATACATTACTTAAAATTCGTATTTATTGGATTTTTAGGTGTAAAGTAGGTAATTAATTACCTTTCACTGCTGATTAATTATTTATTTGGACAGCTTCATTCACATTAAATAATATTGTTCCATTAAAAAATGACAGTGCCTTCATGTGCAATAACATGTGAAAAATATTAATGGTTTTCAATGTAATAAATATAATTTCAATTAAATTATGGCAAAGACGAAGCTTGCATTAATTGACGGGCTTGTTGGTCTAATGGTATCAAAGTATGGCTATTAATCAATGAGTCATGGGTTTGATCCCCACCGGGTCCAACATAATAAAACTAATCTAGTTTAAACTATCTTAGAAGTATACCTGGCTGCTACAGTAGGTGTTCTTGGTTTCATAGTAACGAATCTCCCGTTAGCACCTCTCGGTAACGTCTTATTTGCATCATGATGAGCTCGCAGTTGCGCTGACATTTCTGCCACAAGCGGTACTTCACTGCTACACAGGAGTTCCAGTACATCACCGCGTAGAGCGTCTCGGTTTTTGTCTAAAAATCCTTCCACATTATACCATACTTGGCCGGCGTAATGTTTGACCTGTAAATATAGAATTGGTATTAATATTCCATGGCATATGGCTGGCCATTTCCATGGCAACACTACTTCGCTTATTTTTCTGTTTTATATCATCGACTATAATACAGTGGCTGTGTCAGCGACTTTGTCCGCGTAGAGTTGGGCACCCAAATTTGTATTAGCAAACCTCCGCTTATCTTTTAAATAGATTTATCACCTGCATCCCGTCGTTCTTGCAAGTTAATCTTGAAATATAGTCGCGGCCATTTTTTTAGATCATTTAAAGAGGAATCATTCAATCATATATACAGATTTGTGCGTTAAAACTCTTCAGCTTTATATATTAGTATAAATTTTATTAAAAATAGTCCTTACCCCAAACTCATTAGCCCCCAACCGTGGTCGCGAGTACAACTCATTCAGTGCATGATTGTAATGACATTTTTCAAGAAAAGATACGTCTGAAGCCCGAGGGAAATTGCTTTCGTCATCAAGCAGATGAAGTATACCCACTGGCTTTTTGCTTAGCAATTGAATAACTGAAAAGAAATAACAGAATTAAGGTCTAATCTATTTCGTGATTTTAAACTTCTTCTTAATATAACGTACCTGGAGAATTATCACTCCATGTAAGATGTGACCACTCCAGTCTCTCTTTTTGATATTCTTGCTGTTCCAATTTAAATATATGTTTGTTAAAGTAATGCTGTAACGTTTCATTCGCGTAGTTAATACAGAGTTGCTCGAATGAGTTTTCTTCCAAGTCTTCAAAGCCAAAGATATCGAGTAGAGATATTCTATGAGCGTCGTGCAAACCTCCTCTGTGTACTATAGAGTTTATTCGTAACACGAGCCAGTTGAATAGGGAGGAGTATAGGGCTTTTGCAAAAGCATCTCTGGCGTCTAACGCCTGGTCTATAGGTAGCGGCGATCTCATCCTTTCCGCTCGAGCGGCTGTCACTCTTGTGGTTAGCGCTTTAGCTAGTTCTTCCGCTGGTATTTTCAGCAAATGGGCTGCCCATCGTACTTCAGCCCCGCCTCCTAACTGAACACCTTCCTGACCGTGGCGTAGCTGCCGTCTATGGAAATAAACATTTCCCAAATGCAAAACAGCTGCCAGTACTTTAATTATATCTTCACGTTCTGCATCTCCAATTCCTAAAACCTGCATAGCACCACATAACGCCGACCAATCCGCACCAGCGCCGGCACCAGCTGAATCTCCACCTTGATTTAAGTAAAAGTAGTGTTCTGCCGACAACAGTCCCCTAGACTTCCTCTGTTCCTCATCCAAGCCGGCTAACAGCTCATAGAAGACATGATAATTTCGTTCCCCGGGCGATTGTGTGACTATTCTTGACTTTTCTAATAAATAATGAGCTACTCTAGCGCCCGCCAAGGCGCCGTCCTTAAAGTATAATTCAAGCAATTTTCCGAAGCGACTAGAATTGTGATTTTTTGGTGTGCGCGCATTCCCGAAAGCTTCAAGTAAGGGCGCAGCTTCTAATATTTGTTCAGAGACGGGAGCTCTGCCCGGTGGAGCAGGAGCGACTGCCGCGAGAAACTGGACAGCTAACTTCGTGGACTCGGTCTTCCCCGCGCCGGACTCTCCAGATATCAGTATGGCTTGTGGTTGAGGTAGGGATGCGCGTGCGGCGGCGGCTATAGCGAACAGGTGTGGTGGCAAGTCACCTAGTGCCTCCGCTGCGTGGTATCTAAAAACAATTCAATATTTAATGGATATTAAATGCGAAAATTTTAAAACAAAAACTACAGAACGCTTAAACACTGTCTGTAGTTTACGTGAGTAGTACACCATTAAATAAAACAATAACGTATAAGGTTCAAATAATATCTAATATATTCCGCGTTTTAAACCGTTACAGTGTTTTATTTAATAGTGAGTGTGAGTGAGAAAGAGACTTTTAAGATATCAGCAATCTTGCTTATACATCAAAATAATGCATTGGTTATCATTTATAGGGTATTTTTTAATGATAAATAAAAACGTTAACGTATCGAGTTTGTGATATGCAAAGTCGTGTGAGCTAATACACCCATTTGCTCGTTGAAAGTATTACATTGATTATTATTTCACGCTAATTAATATTACGATTCGATACGTAAGCACGCAACGATTACGACCTAATTAAATTTAGCACGCTTCTGTTATATTGTACAGAGTAATAGATATTACCTTCGTTTATTGAGAGAAAATGGTCAAATTAAATTTTTATAAATCTTTACGTTATGAATCCTTTATAATAAGCAGTGGCGTAAACTATAGGGTGGCAAGTCGGCAAAATGCCACGGGCCCCCAGCCCGAAGGGGCCCCCGGTCAGAGGTAATCTCAATTGTTGGTTCAGTTCTTTATATATTGGGGAAGGGAGGGCCCATTCGATGAATTTGCCACGGGCCTCGAACGGTATAGTTACGCCAGTGATAATAAGCATGTATATACATTTAGTGAAGCGAACCCATGACACAGGGATAGAGAAACATCCATTATGTATGAGTAAAACTCTCTCAATATGCAATATGGAAAGGGCTTTTAAAAAAAAAATTAAAAAAAAAAAAAAAAAAAGGGGGGTTGGAAATTTTTTTAAAAAAAACCAAGGGGGGGGGGGGGCCCCCCCCCTTTTTTCCCTTTTTTTTTTTTTCCCCCCAAAAAAAAAAAAAAAAAAAAAAAAAATTAAAAAAAAAAAAAAAAAAAAATTAATTTTTTTTAATTTAGATAGTTTAAACTATATAATCCAGTGTCTCAAAGTGACTTTATGTAAATCAATGTAAACCTTTAATAAAATCACATGCAAATTGTGTGTCTGGTTTGCAATAATGTTAAGTTATAAAAAATACACTATACAGCTCGGTACGCTATTAGTTCAAGTAATTTCAGAATATCAAACCCCATTTAATAAACACGTTGTGAAAAACGTCAACCCAAGATAAGGCAGTACAAATATTTAATTTGTTAGCTCCCACAAGCTTTCAACGATAGGCTTTCTCACAGCAAATTATAACAATCATAATGAGAACGACGTTTGTTATCGAAAAAAATCTAGTTAAAAGGTCTATTGTTTATTTTGAATTGTCTTTAGTATCGTTGAGGCTCATTAGATTTAAACACTTATATCCTTGAATGTTGTGCGGATTTGAAACTCAAACTCAAACCATTTATTTCACAAGACATAATAAATAACTTAAATATTAGCTTCAATAATTAAAATTAATAAAAAAAAAAAAAGAATGAAAGCAAACTTAAACGAGTAAAAAAAAAAAAAAAAACAAATAAATTTTTAAAAAAAAAAATTCAAAATATATATATTAAGGCTTAGAAATGGGGAAAAAGTGAAAATTACGGGGCTGTGCCTTGAACGATTCACCGAACTTCACTTCTTTAGAGTAGAGGATGGTTCATAGCGTCTACGGTTTGAGACAAGTTATATGTGACTTAATATTATGGTCCGTGCTAAAATGATTTGGCGTAAAATGTTTTGCTAATAATCAACGGGTCGTGGATTCAAGCTCCTAGGGTCCAACAATTTTTCTAGTCATTTTATACTTTTTTTGAAACATGTTGGAATTTCCAAGTTTCCACCTGGATGATTAAGCCAATTTTGCTATTAGTTTAATCGCGTTTTGGTTTGAATTTATGGATTTCCCAGTCGCCAAAAAAGGTCGACAACGCATTTTGTTTAGATGGTATATTGCTGGGGTGTTTCATCAACCATCAAGAGAACTCCATGCTTATCTGTCCTACTCTATCGTAAATATATATACACAAATAAAAAACAATATTTAACCAACCGTCTAGCTGTCTGTAATCCGTACAAATTGTCAACCGGCCTATAAGGATTAACAGCAACTAATATTGAGCCAGCGTATGTGTAGATCAGACCCTGTTCGTATCTGAGCTTTAAATTCCACAGCAGAGCGGCCTCGTGGAGGTCGTGAAGACGTGTCATGTCGTCCACGCCGGTAGGACCCAACTCTTCGCGGGGCCATACCGGATCGCCCTCTTCTTCGCCGTTGCTCATTTGAAGAGCGAAAGTTTGTGGCTGGAAATAATTAAAGGAAATGAATTAGCTGATGATAGCTTAGCTTTATATACTATGATCAACATCATGATCTATCGATTTATATATATATTAGTACCTCATATGGACTTGAATTTAATATCAGAACCCCTAAAGCCCTATACGCGAGGGATACAGAGAGACACCTTTATATATTCTTCCGTAATATACTTTGGCACTCTTTCTCGGCGATTCAATAAACTAATAAGTGTTTACCCGTGTTCCAAACCCAGGACCTTTCGCGCTAAACATAATTAGCGTTTGAAATCTTAGTCACGAAGGCGGTCAATGCACTAATTTAGCTAGAATAAAATACAAATCAACTTTCATTAATCGCACATAGGTGATGGTCAGCGAAGTGGAAAATTACATAAATATCACGTAATAATTTACAACATAACTCAGTTACTCCGCATAACAATGATATCTCTCATCTGTGACCCGGCAAAGAAGATTCGCTATCGAGATCACTCGATTTTCATTGCTCACTGGCCACGGATTTAATAAGTTAAGCGAGAACATAGGGTGTAAAACCCGAAATATTACCTCTTTAAGTAATCGCAGTTTAAATTAAAACTACTACTCTACATAAACTCTCGTAAAATGTAGACAATAATCAAATTTACTTTTTCTCAAACAAACATTATTTTAACAACCTTCTTAAAGATAAATCGAGCTTGCTGTTCTGTTCGAGCAGCGGCGGGTAATAGATGTTTGGAAATCCATATCTGTTTTAAATTACACGACAGAATTTAAAAATGGAACTATCTTCTACTTCGCTGCATGGCGACCAGAGAGGTAACTTATCAAAGGTTTAATTTAAATTGAGAACTGTCTTCTTGGGAACTAAACAGCTTTCTTGCATATTGCAAGAAAGCTGTTTAGTTCTTAGTTAGTTAGTTAAAAAAAAAACTTTGGCGTGTAAAACCCTATTGTTACTAGTTGTTTGTCAACTTTGTCTTTGGTTTTATAGTGTAATGTTTTAATTTTGTTGTGTTATTTAAGAAAGATTCTATACAACCCTTGGCCGCAACTAGGCATAAGTGGAACTAAGTCTCTTTTCGGCTCGCCTCGGCCCACATTCACACTTTCGTCTACCAAAGGCTGTCTTCCCAGTGATGTACTATTATTTATTATAATTAAATATATTAAATCTCCCTTCCTCCCTTAGTAAGATAGAGAAATAATAAACTCCGTCGAAATATTGCAATTAATTATTGTCAACAATATCTTTGTTTTAAATAACTTTCAAAGCTTTAACTTACGAAGGCCTAAAGCAAATGTCAAAATTCAACCAATAATAGGCAAGCAAGTTTGTTTAATTAAGTTTAGCGAGACAATCGGACAGAAATTGGTAAACATAAGATTTATACATTTTGGCCATTGTTACTCAAATCAAAATTACGAAACACGTTGCATTTAATATCCGACACCTCGTTTGCATAATTATAATGTCGTCAACTCCTGAGTGAATATGCGAGCAGTTTAAGCAATAGAGAATTCTTCTGGATGATTTGCAAACCAGATTGCGCGTACGTGCCACGACCGGTCAGTATCACGGTGGGATTAACTGGTGATTATCACGATACTGTTAAGTGACCCCCATTTTAGCTGCACGCTAGAACGCTATGCCATGACAACGCGTTATGGAATGCTATGCGTTGATTGCTGGTTATTGTTGAGTATACATTATGCATAGGTCGCATTGATGCATATGGGGCGTAATTACCTTAATAATTTAGTAAGCGTCCTAGTTTAAAACAAAGTGTCTGTTATTCCATAATTTTATCGTACATACATTGCAATTATTGAATATTGAAGGACGTCTTATAAGTGCTTATAACCTGCTGAACATCTCATTCAGTAATAGTACAAATGTAAGTAAATTACTTTTAACGGTTTAAAACGAGAAATGTCTCCTGTAACCGCGAGTACTGCAAAGCATCCGAAACGGGCCGTAGTTATAATAAATTGTAAAAAAGGTAACTAAGACATTTCGCGTTTTAAACCGTTAAAGTATTTTATTTATATTCCATTGCTTGCCACATTACGCCTTGGCTTGTCATTTGTTTAGGTCTTAGGGCCTAGTAAGCATTAACTCAAATTTTGCACAGTTTATAATGGCAACATTGGTTTCTTTTGACTGTATAATATAATTTGATTTCCTAGAGATATCTGTGCTAATATTGTTTATTAAAAAAGAGTTATTGTATTGGTATCTTGGCTATTGCAATTTTTCCATTTGGTAAAAGCGAGTATAAAAAAGCATTTAATTTATTCATACATTAGCAACAAGAACGTTCAAGCACAGTTCCTTCAATGTCACCAATAAGCGTGGACTTTTAAATCTGGGAGCCTTCTTCAATATCGGCACCGGTATGTACGTCTTCTGTCTCTTTATGGGCACTTCACGATCTGGTGATGATAATGACACTTCGGAGCCAAGAGAACTGGTAGGAGTTGGCGCGAAATGTACTTTCATTTGTTTTCTTACTATTGTAGTACTGTGGAGACTGGTTGTGGTTAAACTATTGTACGTAGAAAATGGAACTAATATTTGAATATTTTAAAAATCATTTAGTATTAAATAAGATTTTAGAAGAGAATTTTAATTTTAGTTCGCTAAAGTTAATATTTGTTTAACGAGATGAAATTCGACACAAAATCAATTAAAAAGCACAAATGATTCCAAACATCGTCTTTTTCCCATACACAGCTGTCTCTTCAACACATTACATAATTTAGTAATTGTTAGAAATCACACGCCGTTCATAGTTTTAATTTTCGTCTCGCGCACGACACTCGGTGAAATCTACAATCTCTACAAAAACTCACAGATTCTACTCGCATCGCTACGAGTTAGGTAACTGATTAAACGGCGTAAGAAATAACTGCTCAGTTAGGCTTAACGGGTCTAGATACGGGGTAGGTTTTATAACCCGACGCTGTGTAATATAGAGAGAGAAGTAGTATAAAACTACTCATGTAGTGTACAAATGTACAAATGTAGCCTAACATGTAATGGCGAACTAACGCTCATTCGTATAAAAACAGACATACTTTTGTGTATGTTTCAATAGTGGCTGTTTTTTTATTTATTTACAGCTCAAAAAAATGCCAGCGTTTTTTATAGTAATCAAATTTAGTCAAAATACTTCAAATTGCAAAAGAATATTTGTCAGAGGCTAGTTATTATAATATTGCCGTGCTAAACAAAACTGTTTTCGTTTATCTTATAAATAAATAAATAAACCCGGGAACCCCACTAGCGTTAAGAATGAATCAACGCTGAGAAATAAACCAGGCGGACAGAAACGAATGTCTACTCTCTATCAACATTCCAATGGTGGCCTTGCGTTCCACGCCTTTTCTTCGGATACCCCACATGTTTATGGAGGCTTGGTACTTGAGATTCTTTTGCGATTTAGCTTTCTCTACGAAGATGATACAAGCAACAACTGTGATTGAAATATATAATAATACTTCAGGTGTAATTAATATTAATATGATGTTAAACGCGTTCTTGAGTCCGAAAACAAAAGAAATAAGGTTTTTTTTCTCTGTAGCTTTTCGGATACACATGGCTTGGGAGGTATACATTTTAAAGGAACTCTATCCAAGGCCACGTGTGTATCTTGAAATTTTGATATAGTGTACAGTTTTATCCCATCGCACCAAAAAAATCTTGTGTTTTTATGTATGTATATATCATCATGTCATTTAGGGTTTGGTGCTGAGGATGTTAATATTATGATAATATTTTAGGCTTTTGTATCCAAAGGTAACAGAACCTTTTTATTTCGCTGTACGCGTGTCCGTCAGTCTAATAATGTTTAGGACTAATCCAGGAATCGCTATAGCTAGTGTTTCACTTAATATCATAAAAAAAAGTAAAAGAAATGTCGAAGGGGAAATTCTTGTACAAAACGGTACATTTTTACTTATACTTGATAGAATACGTGCTAATAGGCAACTAGTCTGTCCACCAAATCAAATAAAATTAAAAAAGGTTGCCTGGACGGTTTCCTCTACAGCGATAAGTCCGCCCAGTGCACTCTAAATAATTAGTAATTTTTTTTTCGCTAATAGTTATATTTTTAAGACTATTTTAAAGAAACATTTGTAAATACATACATTCTTGTAGTCGCAATAAAGAGTTAATAAATAAATAAAATTATATGGTTTGGGATCATATGAGGCCGCTAAAGGCAGAGTAGCCTAACTGCAATTTTATGACTTGAGTTAGTTATATTTTCATAGTCAAGAAGAGCACAGTGACCGAAAATTAACATATTTACACAAATAATAGTAAAAAATCATTTTCGACTAGGTTTATTATTACAGGGCATTTTTATTGTTCTCTTTATTAAAAATCATGTTTTTCGTTATTAGGCCACTCTGCCTCTAGCAGCCCCATATAATCTTACTGGATAGTAATAAATATGTCAAAACACACCTGTCCATTGACGATGGCACTGACAAGTAGCACTCGTGCGGCCCGGTGCACTTCTATGAGCTCGCCGGGCAATGGGGCGGAGGCCCCTGGCGGCTGGAACCATACCGCAGCACCTTCGCTCCACTCCGTCCCCCCGGACCCCGCCATGCTGTAACCAGAGCAAAGCATATACACAGTCTTATACGATAATGTTAAGGGACAAATAATACATTAAATTGTATGTTACTTTGTCTTATTAGTTGTATTACTCTAATACTGTGTAATATTTATCAGCATTAGTTGTTCTAGAAACGTATAATTGCATTAGAAAATTTCGTTGTCCTTTTGCAGTATTGTTACTTCACTGATTTCATAAGATTATAGTGTTGACGATGTAAATACGGGGTAAGAGGTGAATAAAAAGACGTATTTAACAATGATTATACTGTATTTTATTTTAGGTAGAAGTATATTACATAAATAAAAATATTACAAAAGATTTATAAAAATTGTAGGTATTATTCATATTATAGGTATATTGGTGTTGGTTGCGCCGAAGGTAAACCACAAGAACATGGCTGCGATGGCTGGAAGCAAATAGGGGCTGGTGGTGGTGGTTGCAGACAGAATGGCTCTGGTGGCGGAGGCTGTATAAGCATAGGCATCGGCGGCGGCGGTTGTACACAAAGAGGTGGCAGTGGTGGAGGTTGTACACTTATCGGACACGGAGCTGGTGGCTGCAGATACATCGGCTCAGGAGGCGGTGGCTGTACAGTTATAGGACAAGGCGGAGGAGGCTGGATACAAAGTGGTGGTGGACTGGGAGGTGTGATCATCATTGGTGGCGGTGGAGGAGGTTGCACCGGCATCGGTGGTAATGGAGGAGGCTGAACCATCACAGGAGGTAACGGCGGAGGTTGAACCACAATCGGCGGAGGCGCTGGAAGTTCAATTACAATCGGTGGCGGGAGAGGTAGTTCCAGAAATATTGGAGGTGGAACTGGTGGGCTTACAAAGACTGGTGGCTGCTGGGGTGGGGTTACACACATTGGTGGTAGTGGTGGAGGATTGACGGTAATAGGTGGTGATGCTGGCGGTGTTATAGTGATGGGGGGTGATGCGGGTGGAGTTATGCATAGTGGTGGAGCTGGTGGAGGCGTCAAGGTCATCAGCGGAGGCAGAGGCAGTTCAATTAACATTGGAGGGAGTGGGGGCGGTGTTACAGTGAGCGGGGCGGGTGCGGGAAGCGTCACATAAATTGGTGGTGACGGTGGAGCCTGAAGAGTCATAGGCGGCGAGCAGCATCCGCAGCCGTACGATGGAGACTGAACAACGTATGGAGATGCATAGTACTGGCTATGTACTGATATAGCGTGTACCTGGAAGCATAGCATAAGTTGTAAAAGACAGTTACAATAATGAATGAATCTTTAATATTCAAGTATTTGATATTATAAGAAATACTTACACATAAAGCGGTTGTGATATACAAAATAATCATGGTGGTCACTTAACCAGTGACCGCGAACTTGTCCAAATGACTCCATTCCCCATATTTATATACAATAACGTGTAATAACATAACAATTGACAAACATTATCGGAAAGATTCGTTGCATTTATCGAAAATGCAATTCTATAAGGTATCGATAACACACGTACTGAGAATATTGTAAAAGTTACGGCTGTTAAAATATCTAAGGATAATGTTACCCGAAAAAACGATTGAATAAGGCATACTTAACGGGTTAAAACGAGTAGTTGTAATTATTTTAAATACGACGCGAAATTATTATTTAAATATTATAAAGATTTATTTAGTGATTTAAACCGTTATAAGTATTTTATGTAATTGTACTTACCATTCTCGTAAATTTCACTTAGGTATTAAATAAATAAGAGAAAGTTTCCGAGAGTAACTGAAATAAATATAAACCTTTTTTATTACTAATATATACTCGTAAACTTTTACAAAGGTTACCTTTGTTCAGTGTGGTCATCGTTAAATAATTATTTGTGTTTAAACCCGTTAATAAAATTTGAAAAGATTTTTTATTATTATTAACGAAGAATCATTCTTTCACATATATTTTTAGTATCTTTAATCGTATTTACAGTGCACGCAACGGAAGCGGAAAGATGTTTTTTTTTTCCACATATCCACAAACGTTTTTTCGCTCCTATTAGTCGCAGTCTGAATCATTTAGCCTAAAAACTTCCTCGATAAAAAATATTCTATTAGAATCAGTAGTTCCTGAGATTAGTCCGTTCAAATAAACAGCTTTATAATATAAGTTTATAATATAAGAATAAAAGCATCGGTTTAGATAAATAATAATCGATAAGTATTTGTTGTGTCAACTGTCAACCCACAAAGAGTTCATTGAATCCGGTAAACAATGACACTTCCGCCCAAGAAGTGGAAGCACACTTACACCGTGAATACAAATTGATAACCTCGACGAATGAAAAGCGGTTCTCGTTTTCAAAAGTGGTAGCCGCGTGTGGTGTTAGCGTTCGGTCGTATTGTCAAGGTGCTTTCGTATGCACGACCTTACGGACTTTCTAAGCTTGGAATAGGGACTCCAAGTTTATTTATTATAAGCCAGTTTATACTAATATGGATGGCACTCCTGTGGTTCACTTAAGTGACTATAGTAATCCAGCCCTATAACATTCAATTAAGATGAGTTGCCGATCTATTTGCCTGTTTCTTTAGTAATTAAAAACAATGTATTTAACAATCGATAATAAATTAAAAAAAAATACGTCTCGGGCAAGACTTGAACCGGCATCCACATTTATATATGTGATACATTTTTAATGTATATAGTGCCATAATGTGCAATAACATTGAAAAAATATTAAAGCTTTTAAACAATATATTTTTTACATGCTTTACATACTTAATCATATAAACGTTTAAAGTTATTTAAAATTAATGAAAACAATCGAAATACATATATGACGCATTATTTTCAATATATTCACTTAATTCTGGCAATGTAAAAGTTAAAAATATTTCGCATTTAAAACCGTTGAAAGGTTTTTATTTAAATTACAAACGTAAGTAAGTAAATATGTCAAATTTAATTGGTTAAGAGAACTACCTTTATAAACAATATCATCGTGACACATAATTTCTTATAGGTCAACTTCTAAACAAGCATAAAATAAGGACAAAAACGCTGTAACGAAATTGATTATGGTTCCACCAGCCGCGCATGACGCATTTTTTCCATGTTTTACTATGGAGGAAAAAAGGCTTATCGTGTGAAATCATAGTAATTATTTACATATCAAGACATGTGGTTTTAATTAATGAATTGCTAAAATCTAAAATAATATTTAGACGTTCATTCTGAAACTAAATTGTTTTACCCTTATATTGTCATTGGGGAATACGTCTCCTCTCTCAAAGGAAAGGTTAAAAGTCTTAGAGCGAATTATTAAAAATAAATTGCCCGAGATTCGATAAGTGAACGACTTCGCTTTTTATTGCGAAATAAAAACTTGGAGTCAATGTACATTTTTTACTTACACCAATAATTTTTTATTGAACTTTATTTCATTATATGGAGTTGAATTGGCAATTTCGATCTGAAACTGCGACTGATTCGATATTAGTAACTCCGTTAGTATCTAGACTTCTTTTTAATACCGCAATATAAGCCGAAGTATGTATTTGAAGAACTGCTACTAAAATTAAAAACGACAATTTCGTGACGTAGGAATGTTTATTACTCTTTACCTTTATAAATTAAAAATCGATTATACATTGATTTTAAAAAAAATACGAATTTACGTCGAGTCCTGGGACTTAGTAGCAATTTGTTAGAGCAGCAGCACAGAACACTGAGAATGCCGGTCCGTCAAGTCCTGCCCGAATCTTTTTTTTTTTCAATTTATAATCGATTTTTAATTATATAGTGCCTTAATGTGGCATGTGAAAAATATTAAAGTTTTTAACTCTTTAGCTTTTCTGCGGCTAAATATTTACGAAAATTAATATCAATGTAGTTGACACAACCTGGTACCAAACTCGTTAAGTATTACAACCTGATAAAATGTAATTTACTCGTGGAATAAACGAAAGAATTATATAAATAGAATGTACTTAAAAATCAAAACACAACAACCGTGGTTGTTGTGTTTTGGTGTCAAACACCTGGAAATAAGTTGACAGTGCATGGCTGGAGCAATTTTATCTTAAATTCCATTCCATGTCTATACTTTCGGTATTAAATTTCACGTTTTATTGAATCTTGTATAAGTTACCACCGAGGCGCCTTTTCGTACTTTACTACTTTACTTGAACCGTACCATTCAAGAAAAATATATTAACATTCACGCCATAAAATCTTTTGAATGTTTTAAAACGTTAACGAGACATACTAAGACTTTATTGTTGTAATAAATTCTCCGTTAATTAGCTTCAATTCATTGATTCGTCACGCAAATCGAGAAAGATTGGTTGTAACATTCGGCGTTTACGTAAACTCATGTGCAGCTTCATGTAAATGTCAGGGAAAGTGAAACAATAGCTATACATCACTCATTAATTTCACTTGGAGCTCGTTGAATATTACGACACACTCTTAACCGTCTCAAAAAACCTCTGTAATCGATTACCTGACTGAAGAAAACGGATAAAAGGCATTTTGGTAAGCGGGTTTGACCCTTGGTCAAATCCATGCAAATTAAAAATTGCTCCGTCGGGAAGTTCGAAACATTTACTATATGGAAAAAAAGGGCCACGCAAATGTGTTCTCTCCATGTCCCACAAAGGGGAAACTGTATTAGTAACGGTGTCAATGGGAATATGAGAACATATTAAATAAAATACTGCCTATAGTTTACGCGAGTAGTACAAATTTAAATAAAACACTTTAAAGGTTTAACACGCGATATATTAGTTAAACTTATTTGAGACCCCCCCCTCGCCCCGTCTTCCCGTGACCACGGTTGCTGCAAAGCATCCGAAACGTCGGGCCGACGTTAAAAATCATTTTCAAATAAGTTTAACTGATATATCACGTTTTAAACCGTTAAACTGTTTTATTTAAACATATTTAATAATTAAAAATAATGCTTAGAAATAATTATGTTTCTATTACATGAAAGAGATGTACACATTAAGTGTGTATGATAGTAATAACAAAAACTTGACGATAAAACGAGTGAGTGGCGGCAAGTTATTTGACTGTTCTTCTCTTTCGTACGTCCTTAATTTGGGAACTGATAGAAAGTGTAAATTTAGAGATTTTAATTATTATCTGTATTGACGTTCATAAGTGTACCTAGCTATTGTTATTTTTAACTACCTACATTAATTAATATTATTTAATTGAATTTGGTACAATTAATTTATTGACTAAAAAGTGCGTAAATGTTGCATACTTTTACAATATGAAAAACATGATTCTGTAATTATAAATCCGCGAATATGAAACACGTTACGTTATAGCCTGGGATCTAGGCCGCGGCAATAGTACTACTAAGTGGTAGAAAACTACATACTTTGCTAATGAATTGGTGATTCAGCTTCTTAGTCTGTGAAGTTGAATAATTTTATACCTTCCCAATGCGTAGGTACCGTACTGATGGATCATTGCAGTCAGTCAGGTTTTACTACCCGCATACGATTCTCTTATCCTATTATATTTGGTTATGGCAGACGTAGGGAGTATCACTTAGTTTAAATCTATACTAATATTATAAAGATAAAGCGTTTGTTTGTCTAATCTTAGGAATTAGTGGTTCAAAAAAAAATATAAATATATATATATATGGATTGGATAGACCATTTATTGAGGAAGGCTTTAGGCTATCTATGACTAAAAAATGATTGAAGCAACAGTATATATCTTTAAATTAATTCTCAAGAACTGTTGGTACATTTGGTTGGTTGGGAACTTAAGGTAATCAAATTTGGTAAAAAATCATGCATTTTATTTTTTATCATTTGTTATAGGTATAAGTGTTTATAGTTGTATCAACATAATATGCATCTTGCAAAAACAACGTTTTTCGGATCAACTAATTAAATATTCTATAATTTAGTTTCGAAGAAGCACCACTACCATTGCATTATTTATTAAGTAATTAAACCGCCGTGCCTTATAACCGTTGATTAACTAATCATTGTAAGAAAGATAGTCATTTAAGCAATCGTTAACTTAATGTGTACAAATGTGATTAATGAAGTAATTGTGTCACAATAGCGGAGTAAAGAGCATAAAATTGCATAGCGTGAACAATTTTCAGGCGAAACAGACGAAAGTGGGTTCCGCTCTGCTTGTACTAGTTATTATTATTTATTACCTAATATTAACATTCATTTATTCTGAATACTAGACGGCTAATGTAACATCTCTTGTTTATAATTGAGTTCTACTCATTAAGTACATTCAATAGCGGTATTATGTCGTAGTGAAAGCGGTTTAAATGTTAGGTATGCAAACATAAAGATTTTTAGTGGACAGGAGGACTGATGGGGTTCTCGAAAGGAGAAATACCCAGCCCCGTATCATAGTGTTGCCCAAATTAGGTCTTGGTCTTGTTCTTGCGTTTTTGCAAGACCAAGACCAAGAACAAGACCGCGTATTTTTAGCAAGACCAAGACCAAGACTGACCGTGCAAGACTTGAGCAAGAACAAGACATAGCCTGCAAGACTCTTGCGTCTTGCAGCTAGGGCTTAGCGCTATTTCACTGAGTAGTTAGGTGTAACAGTTCGGTGTATAGACGCAAAAAACTGTATCAAAGAATATGAAAAACTGACCTATGCGCATTACGACTAATACCATAAACATAGCGAATAAAAAAATAATTAAAATCAAACTGAGTATGAAGTTATGTTTTAAC